TTCGTCTTTTTATTGATGATGAAATAATTTTTAATACCTTTTTATTCAAGTCTTCTTACCGGGCGAGTAAATGCGTTTTATGTCACTTGATAATTCGAGTAATGGACATTATGACAAATAAAATTTCGATAAATGAAATTTCTTAAATATGACATTTCGAAGATTTGAAGGATATGTCACATGAGAATTCGAGTAAATGCCCTGTTTAAAAAAATTATTAAAATGGATATGATTTGATAGAATTTTCTTCCTTCACTCCTTGAAATTCGAATCCAATTTAATCAAATATTGAAAATCCAATCCACTTCTATCCAAAGTAGAAAATTAAATCCATTCCTATCATAAGTTTTGATGTATTATCTATCAAAGTTAATAATATACTAAAATTCAATATTTTACTATCAAGAGTTTGGATACGAATTCTATCAAATTCTATGAGTCGAAAAATCTTATAATTTTCTATCCATGAGTTTTGATTGAATACCTATCAAATTCTTTCCAAATGAAAATCTAATATTTCTCTATCCAAGATTTGGATATAAATTCTATCAAATTCTATGAGTCGGAAATTCTTATAGTTTGCTATCCATGAGTTTTGATTGAATATCTATCAAATTCTTTCCAAATGAAAATCTAATATTTCTCTATCCAAGATTTGGATATAAATTGTATCAAATTCTATGAGTCGAAAAGTCTTCTATTTTTCTATCCATTAGTTTTGATTGAATATCTATCAAATTCTTTCCAAATGAAAATCTAATATTTCTCTATCGAAGATTTGGATACAAATTCTATCAAATTCTATGAGTCAGAAATTCTTATAGTTTGCTATCCATGAGTTTTGATTGAATATCTATCAAATTCTTTCCACATGAAAATCCATTATTTCTCTATCAAAAGGTTTGAATACAAATTCTATCAAATTTTATGATTATTACCCGAATGTCATTTTTCCGAAATGTCATTTTACCGAACTGCACTTTTGCGAATAGTCATTTTTGCGAAAAGTCATTTTTACGAATTGCCATTTTTTCGAATTGTCATTTTTGAGAAATGTCATTTTTGCGAATTGTCACTTTTGCGAATCGCCATTTTTACGAATCGCCAATATTATGAATTGTCATTTTTGCGAATTGTCATTTTTGAGAAATGTCATTTTTGAGAAATGTCATTTTTGCGAATTGTCACTTTTGCGAATCGCCATTTTTACGAATCGCCAATATTATGAATTGTCATTTTTGCGAAAAGTCATTTTTACGAATTGTCATTTTTGCGAAAAGCTATTTTTGCGAATTGTCATTTCTGCGAATCGCCATTTTTACGAATTGTCAATTTTCCGAAAAGTCATTTTTGCGAAAATTCCTATAGTAAATCTGCTTGTATGCATATATAGATTCACTATAGGAATTTTCGCAAGAATGACTTTTCGGAAATTTGACAATTCGTAAAAATGTCGATTCGCAAAAGTGACAATTCGCAAAAATGACATTTTTCGAAAATGTCTTTTCGTAAAAATGACTTTTCGGAAAATTGACAAATCGTAAAAATGGCGATTCGCAAAAATGACTTTTCGGAAAATTGACAATTCGTAAAAATAACGATTCGCAAAAATGAAAATTCGCAAAAATAGCTTTTCGAAAAACTGACAATTCGCAAAAGTGACATTTCGCAAAATTGGCTTTTCGCAAAAATAAGTATTCGCAAAAGTGCAGTTCGATAAAATGACATTTCGGAAAAATGACATTAGGGGAATAATCATGCGCCCCTTTATTGTTTTGTTGTGAACTACAGATTTTCATAAAAGTTTTAACATTTTAGAAAATCAACGAAATTTTTTTAACACAGTTGAGCTGTGTTTTTTATTTTTTTATTTCGTTTGATGTTATTTTTTGCAAATATTTGCAAAAAATTACAAAGCGGTCAAATGACATTTGAGCAAAAATTTATTAAATATTTAATTAATATTTTTAACATAATAGCATATATTGCAAATCTCTATAAATATTTTAATTTCTGCTTGTATTTTTATAGGTACTTACAAAAATTATAATATTTTACATAAACTTACGTTTTTCAAAGTTGCAGTTTATATAGACAGGTCGAAAAATATTTCTCACGTCGATTCGATAGCCGCGGTCGTTAAGCGTTTAGATAGATAGGTCATAGGTGCGGGGTTCGATTCCCATAGGGTACAAATTTTAATTTAATTCTTCCAGTTTAATTAAAATGCTTGTATGTTTGGAGTGTGCTAAGAATATAATGTTATTAATGGTCATAAGAATCTTTTATTATTTTTTCCACAAATATTTTTTTTCAAAGCGTATGTTTTCAATTGTAACCACCTTGGATACAATAGGAAAGAACTTTCTGTCATTTTTCGATATAGGATTTGATAGAATTTAAATCAAAAAATCTTATTGGATTGGAAACAATTTTTAATAATCAATTTTGATAGAATTTGATAGGACTTTCTTTGAAATCAGTGGGACAACATGGGACAATTTTCGGATAGAAAAAGTATTGATTTGGATAGACTTTCTATTAAAAGTATGTGATAGAAACTGATTGTAATTTTTGAAAATTTTGGATTCAGAAACAGGATTGAAATGGAAAGAAATTTTTTTCTATCCATTTCTATCAAATTTTTTAAACAGGGTGCGCATTATGTCACTTGATAATTCGAGTAAATGAACATTATGATAAATAAAATTTTGATAAATGAAAGTTATGTAATTATAATATTTCGAAGGTTTGAAAATTATGTCAAATGGCAATTCGGAGGATTAATAATTATGACAAATAGTCATTCGGAAAAACAAAATGTATGTCAAAAAAATTTTCGACATATTAAAAATTATATTAAAAAGCAATTCGACTATTTAAATAATAGGATAAAGAATAAATCGATAAATTAAAAATTATGTTGAATGAAATTTCGAAAACTGAAAATTATGCGAAATGATGTTTCCATAATAAGAATTTCGATGTTTTGAACATTAGGAAATTGAAATTTGAGGAATAATCATGCGCCCCCAACAAACCATTGTTAACAGTTTGGAAGTGAAAATAAAAAAAGGTTACCATAATTTTCAAAGAAATTCCCGTTAAATTTTATAATTATATTGCAACTCCTGCTTTAACAATAGACCCGAAAGCCTATTGTTGTATGGGATTATAATTTTATGGCTTAAAAAGTTTACAATTTAAATAATTTAATTTTCAAAACAAAAAAATTTTAATCTGTGATGTTTCATGATTACAAATATCTAAAATTCATTATAAAAAATGTTTAATTTAAAAAGTTATAAACTATCTCGCAAACTCTTATTGTTACTTAAAAACGGATATTATTTTTGAATTTAGATTAACATGAATATTTAGCATATACCTACATAATAATTACTTGTAAAGAATCTGAGTTCATGAAAAACAAATATAATGTTAAAATATAAATAAAAATTATTTTTAACATTAACAAAGAAATATTCGTCCTTCAACTTAATGACGGTCAGGCCATAAACATCACCGATAGCGACCCTTTTGCAGGTAATTTTTCCCAGTACAATTTCAGTGCTGAAACGCAGCAAATTTTCATTGAAATAGCACTGAGCTCTCAGTACTAATTCCCCAGTACAATTTCAGTCCATTCTTTCGGCAGGGACACCAAATAGAGAATGAAATTAAATAGCCGTGTAGCCACGAACGCGTCGCTGCACTCGCGCTTCGGTTTCGTTTTCACAAGCTTGTTGGCCAAAAGACTAAATTGCCATTTCGCTAAATTAAAATTTTACACAGTAAGAGGTTAGGTTCGAAACACTCAGTCGGTAAAACAGTTTTGCTGTGCGTGGTTTAGCAAAATGGCAATTTAGCCTTTTGGCCACTAAGCACAAGTTGAGTCCCAGGCGTACTATTATTTTTACATTCTACACTTATCCGCGCGGGGTAAGTTAGACGCTGCCGGTATTGCAGAGCGCCTTATTATCTATAGTCACCAGCACTTCGGGTCTTTAATTCAAAATGTCCGCTGCCAGTATTTTGACAGTACCAAAACAACAATTAATTTCTTCCTGGTGCTCTGGACTATTCTGGAATCACATCCCTATAGAAATCCGAAATCTCGTGAAGATGACCCCGTTGCATCAGTCATTTTGATTTTCTATATTTTTCTGGAACATGTAATAAAAAAGACACAACTAAAAATGGCTACCGCAACGGGGTCAACACCAGTTGGCGTATCACAGTTCTGCAGTTCCCCTGATGACTTCGACTAATGACGACGTTGACGGACTGTAGTGGATTTCCAATGAAAATTTTCTCGATGACTATGAATATAATAAAATACGAACGGCAGAATTCTTTTTTAAGTTTTGTTATATATTGTTGATCTGACGAGCTGGCAAGTCATTAATACGGGCACAAATAGGACCATTAATAGGGGCACTAATGCTGTTTCAAATTTGCGGTCACTTGAATGGTCGTTTAAAGAGCCACTAATATGCCCATATTAGGGGTCATATTTACGGTCGTCTTTGTGGTCATTAATTTTTAATAGAGACTTATGACAAGTGTAGATTCATACTTTCATAGGCAACATATAATTAAAGGAATAAAATTTATCATTCGGTATTTATATATTTATCCAAGGTGTTAGACGAAGTTAACACCATGATCTTGTTTTTTTTAAGTTCATTAATAATTTAGAAATTATTCATTAATTTCGAAAATAACTTTTAGAAAAAGCAGGTTTCTATATTAGAAAAATTGTACTGTCAGTACATGAAATTCAGAAGCTTAAATGAGAAGTTGATTCAGAGAGATTTTAAATTCAGAGAGATTTTTACCTTGGATAAATTCCAATACCGAATGACAAATTCCTTTGCTTTAATTTTGCATTTATCATTACATACAAATTTTAACCATACGCATTTTAAAAGAGCGATAAATTTTACATCGTAAATAGTTTATGCTAACTTTTTTAAGTGCTGTATTTATGGTTTCAGAATATCATCAATAATCATTTCGAATTGCATTAATACTTGAGGAAATTGTGTCATTGAAAAAAAATGATTACAATATTAATTATCAGCTTAGTAGCTTCTCTAATCAATTGCGAAAATTGTGATTTGAGTACTAATGAAATAATGGAATTAGTAAACTATTTTAATAATGTTGCTATGGACTATAAGAAAGATTTTGATGACAGTCGGAATGTTGCAATTTGCATAGGCATGGCAAGATCTGGCAAAAGTACACTAATTAATTACTTGATGGGAAATAACTTGAAGATGTTCAAAAAAAGTACATATGCTTCTAAGGAAATAGTAAAAGAAGACCAATCTCCAGGACCAGAAATTGGTTCTGGATCAGAATCAAAAACTATAGAAGTCTCAAAATGGGCTTCAACTAAAATACCTAATTTGGATATTTGGGATACTCCCGGATTTGGAGACAACCGAGGTCAAATGCAAGACATAAAAAATGCTTTTAATATTTATCGATTAATGCATAGTGTTAAATCAGTAAAGTTTATTTTAGTTGTTGATTTTGCTCATATAATAGGAGATGACACTAAGCAATTGACAGACTTTTTAAATTATCTTGAAAACTTATTTGGAAAAATGTTTATAAATACTTTTCGAAGCATGGCAATAATAATTTCAAAAGCACCTTTTAGAATATACGGGGAACAAGTAGATCTTGATTTTATAAACCATCATTTACAACGGAAGAGTTTATCATCAATAAAAATGAATCCTATTTCAAGACAGTTTATAAACTACATAATAACTAACCAGAATCAAGTTGGTATCTTCCGGCAAGTTAACACACCTACAGAGATTCAAAACATTGATTATAATATTGTAGATGCTATTAAAAGTTCTCATTTGACAATTGATTATTCTTTCGAGGATATATTACCAACTATTTCACCTTCCTCAAAAAATTGCCTTTTAAAAACTCGAAGTAACCTGCAGTCAATGAATCAAATCAGTATATTAGAGACGTTTTTGGTACAATTTGTAGAAGAATTTGCACAAATTAGAATTAATACTACAGAAGCGGTTGCAACAAATAAATCCGAAGGAATAGGAACTGAAAAGGATTTAAACAGAATTAGTGAAATTCTACATGAAGCACTTGAACCCGGAATAAATTATGACAGAAAGATACGAATTCTTAAAGAAATCGATGATAAGATTAGAGAAAAGATTGAGGAATTAAATTTATTACAAAATTTTAAATTTATGATATTTTTTGATCAGTGCTTAGGGATAAGATTTAGGAAAGATTATGAAATCGCTTTAGAGGCTATGTTATACAGATTAAATTTTCATATAGATCTAAAACATAATGATTATTATGAAAAATTACAGGCAGAAGAGTTAAGAATACATGAACAAAAAATGGAAAAAATACGCACAAACTATAATGAAACTATAACCAAATTAATAGCTGAATACAATAAGACAATAGAAGAATATAAGAAGAACGGAGTCGAAGAAAAAGGCTTTGTGGCTACATTTTTCGAAGATATTTTCCTAGGGTAAGTGTGGGTATTTCTGCGAATTTTTAGTGTAGGTTAAATTTGAGAAGCTCGTCTAAGTTTACGAAAAAATGAAATGCAGTTTTTTCAATTACAAATTAAAGGTCAATTATTATATTTTCGTTAATTATTTGTATTTAAAAAAGTTAATTAAAAACTAAAAATACCAATTATTGTGCGAGTATTATTGCAGAAAATCAGGTGTCGTATACCGCGCTGGTTGTCAAAAAAGAGGTTATGTTTAGTATGCGTTGCGCAGTAAACGTATTTAAAAATCGCAATAATACTAACATGCAGTAAAAATTCTGCTACTAATATAGTTTTAAGTATTATTAATTGAAAATCAATGAAAGATGGGTAAATTAATATATTTTTCAAATAATAAAGTATACTGCTTTCATTAGTAACACTGAAACATGTATACTATAGTGAATATTGGAAATATCAACGGTTTTTAATATGTATTCATGACTGTCATATTTGATAATTTCACAGAATTCTGTCATAATATATTTCAAATTTAAATAAATAAATTAATAATTGTCGGAATATAAATTTTTATGAGCTATTCTATCAAGTGAGATTCACAATAATTTTTGTAATTATTTTGAAAAAATTAGGCGTATATTTCAAAATGAAAATAATAATTTTTTAAAAATCGCAATAATTATGTCACTCGCAGGAATACCAACACTTACCCTATTTTTAAATTGAAATATAAAAGCAAAAAACTGTGGCGGTAGGCTTAAAGTTCGCCTTTGCCCACGTTGAAATCGGGCTTTAGTTTTTGTTCCCCCTCTCGTGAGTATGAGAATGCGAGCTGGAGAGTGCATGAGTTGAGCGACGACGGACACTTGAGATCCGTACTCGAAAAGAAATACATGTAAAGTTGGGTGGTCAGCCAGATGGCAATTTATTAAATAAATATTGTTAAAAGTTATTGATGCCTTATTTAATTTTATTTGGTAAATGGGAAAACGCCAACCTAAATTTCCCACAAAACCTTAAATGGAATTTTTTTCATAAAATACATATATTGAACTATAATTGGTGTGAGTTCCAATTATAAATATTAATAATTTTTATAAATAGGTATTAATAATTTAAATGTCAGGAATTTTTTTTAATAAGAAATCTTACTTCCCCTCTTCTATAAGGTGGGTAGGATTTTTTTATAAACAGTCTTATGGAAACAAGTGTAATTAATCGATAAAGTAAAAATTGTCCGAGTAATTTCATTTGTTAATGACAAAAAACATACACTTTTTTAACGTCCGTTTGTTATGCAATTAAACCAAAAAATCAAATTTCCATTTAAGTGGAGTGAATATTCATTCCTCGATAATTCGAATTTGTAATGCTAAATTTAACTGTAATTTTTAATAGCTGCTCTGCATACGGTCAATACATCAATAAAAAAATTTAAAAAATTTTTTTGCACTTCTTATTGTTTATTTATAGGTAACTATTGTCAATATATGTACGCTAACTATAAAACACACATACAGTAGGATCTTTCAATAGTGCAGTTCTGAACAGTGCAGTCATTAGTGAGTTGAGTAGACAAGGGGTTTCGGGGGGTAAAGGGAAAGGGAATCTGTGACGTCAAATACAGTGCCGTCGCTCATTTAATTATTTATTATCATTTAGTGGTGCCCGGTATTTAGTAGTGGGGGACCCTTAATTTTCTTGACACGGACCTGAATGTTTTAGTTTTTGCTTGCTTCGAATAGTGCACAATATTCCCGACGACTGCACTATTGAAAGATCCTACTGTATAGAGTATTGTTTTTTGTATTTAATGTATTTCTCCGGCAAATCGATTTTCTATAGAATTTTTTGAAATTCTGGGAAAATGCTCCTTTTTATATGCTTTATGTGTGATAAAAAACTCAATACTCCTTGCGATGCTAAAAATTGAGATATTTTGCTTTAAAGTTTCAACATTTAACATAGGAATCATATGCTGAACGTAGAAAAGTGACACATTTTTATAATTATCTAGAAAACTACTCGATAAATATTTCTCAAAAACTAGTATGTTGTAGGGATAAATAAAAGAAATAATATTAAACAAATTTCAGTGTAGGTAACGATGCTCATTTTTTAATTAGGGGCCATCCATAAACCACGTAGCCTCTTGAGGGGGAGGGGGGGGGTCAAGCAATTGACTACGACAAGAGGAAAAAATGGCGCTAATACATGTAATAGCGTACTACATGGGGGAGGGGGGGGGTCAAAATTCCCAAAAAATGGGGCTACGTGGTTTATGGACGGCCCCTTATTGTATTTTGAAAGTCGAAACTCAAGTGATTTTCCATTGAATTTACTGGTGCAAGGAAAGCATGCGGTCGCGACTTGGCAACACTGTTGCGTTCAAAGCACTTGCAAAAAGGCGCAAAACTAACATTCGTTTCAATTACTTTTTCAGATTCAATTTAAAAAAACTTTTCTTTTTTCAAACATATTTATATATTTATTTATTTTATTGAAACTTTTTTAGTTATCAAGTTTTGTTACTGTTTTCATTATTGCTCTTTTGAATTTCTTGTTGTAATAACAAAATTAATAAGTGATAATAATAATATTAATTACGATAATTTGATAATAATTATAAATTATTACTACAAATTAAAAGTGAAAGTGAGACAATATGACGGTGAGCACACAGACAAGTGGATCTATGTGTCAGTGGCCAAGGAGGTGGCGTCAATTCTCGGAAGTGGTCGCGACTTGAACTAACGAAATTTAATTCTCAATCTCAAATTACTCCACTGACATAATTTCCTCGCAAAATTATTGCAAAAACGGAGAGAGACGCGTCTCAGTGAGTGAAATTCCTCTATCATCCCTCCAAATATGAACCCGAAATATTTAATTCTCTCAAAATGAGAAGTCAATACCAAACCGTTCATAACCCCTTTTTAATGTTTAAACATTTTTTTCAATAATTATTTATAAAAATTTCGCAAAATTTCCGAGAGCAGCGCGGGTCAATAATATTTTTCTATATTTTCCAAAAAATCCTGACTGAAAATATTTTTTTCTTTTTAAATGAGATGTCGATCACGATACGTCTAGCCATTTTCCACAGTCGAGGTGAATTTTTCATTTTTTCCTGCTACTTTTACTGAAACAAATCTATTATTTTTTTGGGTTTTTATTTACATTTTAATTTTAATAAAATTCATGAAATTAAACAAGTAAAAATGAAGGTTATGTTCTCCGTGAGAAGAACAGGCCTCGTGACAGCTGTGCCACACTGTTGCCGTATCATGAAAACTTGCGCACAATTACGAAATTTGCACTCAAATCTTAAGCAACACGTGTCGATTCCACAAAACCATAAAGAGGATTTAAATAATCTGCATTCTGGAGATTCTCAGGAAAAGTAACCAGGAAAACTGTTTTATGATCTTATTTACCATCAACTACAATAATAAACAGTAACTCTCTGCTTATGCTTACTAGCATCCTTTGCATTTCCTTTAAACAATCTCCCTTGAATTGAATGCACAAAGGTAAAACAAATCTATTTACTTATATATTGTGGTAATAAATATTAAATAATTTATATATCTTAATATTTGTCTGTTGTTACAATTAGTTTAATTAAATTTAACTTAAGTTGCAAATTTTAAATTCTATGTAATTCTGTCTTAATTTTACAAACCGGAGAGGAAATTTTAATCGTTATTCTATTAATTGAATTGAAATACTCTGTTGAGTTGAAGTTACAATGTCTGATTCTCTCGACTTATCTCCCATTCGTTCCACAGCGGATCCCGGGGACATTCCAGTTTCGTCTTCCTCAGCTTCTTCATTGGATCCCTCAATCGGGAATTTAACATCTATACATAATCTTGGCATCTCCACTCCCGAAGATCAACTCTTACAATCTCAGCCGCAGACCAACAAGAGGAGCGTCCAGCATGCCAGCTGGTCCGATAAGTCGATGAATGACTCCTTCTCGATCTCTCGTAAACGCGTCCGTGAATCAAGGTCTCAACCGAGCCCTAGGGGTGAGTCGACATCTAAAGTTCCATACTCCAAGAATTCTTCCCTTAATAAAACTTTTTCACGTCAATCATCTCCAACAATCCTACCAAACATCAATAACAATTTAGAATGGCAATCCTCTTTTATTATTTCCAAGTCAAATCTAAGATACTCTCAAACTATGAATCAACCGTTCATAGTAATTCTCCAGTTTGATTCAAATCGAGATCCATCCGTAAATATTGGTCGCTATAACCCAATTGCTCTTGCAAAGAAGATCAGAGCGATTACCCCAGGCCCCCTAACGATTTCCGCTAATGGCCAGAACAGCACCAAAATAATCTGCGCAAACTATTCCGACGCAAACAAAATACTGGATCACTACAATAACAATAACCAATCCTACCTTGCTTTTCCTCCGATTTCTTTATTCTATAAAAAGGGATTCATCAGGAACATTGACACAAAAATTGCGCTACCGGAACTATTCGAAAATATGGATGCTCTATCCAAACCCACTATCCTGTCTCTTAAAAGACGAGTAAATTCAGGAAACGTACTCACAGACATAGTCGAGATTACCTTCAACTCTTCAACCATTCCACGATTTATTAACTCATTCAATTATCTTTTTTCCGTTACGCCCATGATTCCCCCTCCAAAAAGGTGTCATTATTGCCAACGTTTTCGTCACACGGCTGATCAGTGCCGTTCTGCCCACCCTATATGTGAGTTCTGCTCCCAACACCATATCACTCTTAAATGCACCAATCGTCTACTTCAGCCCAAATGCAACAACTGTCGTGATGTTCACATGGCCTCTTCACACGATTGTCCACGTTATAAATACGAATTTGAATTGTCAAAAGTGTGTTACATCCAAAACCTGGGCCACTTGGAGGGCTCTGATGTTCTGAATGCTAGAGGTATTCTTCCTCCAAACTCTCCAAGATCAATGAACTCTTCAACATCATCGAAATCTTCTCCATCTCAAGTTCCTAACTCCATGCCCCCCCCTCCTCCTCCCCCTTTAACAACTCCATCAACATCTCAATTCATCCCTCCCCCTCCTTCTAAATTTCAATCTTTTCCAACTTCAACTCCTAAACAGTTGGCCAATGAACTCAACGGCTCTCAATCCAAAGATAAAAATCCTAAACAAGAGCATCGATCAACTCTTAATTCAATCGTTGATAACATCCAAACCAAACTCTCTTTCATCGAGAAATCATTCGAAGATTCTAACATCTCATCCGATACATCGATGAGACAAATCGATGACAAAAAGAATGACTGAATTAATTATTAAATTTTTAACCCTCCTCTGTCTCTTACTTTTGTTTTTATTTTCTTATCTATTCTCCTTTTATTATTACTATTATATTTCAAATCATTCATCTATTTTAAACTATTTGAAATTTTATTCTTTATCCTTCCTACTACCCAGCTTCGTTTTAACTACCTTTTTACCTAAATTACTAAAATTTCTATTTATACATTTTGCTTTCAAAATTATTGAGTACCGTCTGGCACATGGCATATCCAATTCCATAATCAAAATCCATCTTTACACATGGACATGGATTGGGATATGCAGTCGACCTGTGTGGGACCCTACTCTTTAACTCTACCTTCCCTTTCCTTTTTAAACCTTATACAATTAAATTTAAACAATGCATAACAATATTACCGTCTTTCTCGCGTGCATGGAGTAGCATGCATCTCCTTTACCCCTTCAGAGCCGCTATGCTGCTCCATGCCTCGCGTGAACGAACTTTAAATCATTGTTTTATGCTATTGTTTTCCCCCTTTATCGTTTTATCAAAAATTCTTTAATCCACAACAGATTGAATTTCCTCTCCGGTATATCCCCCCTCCTCTTTTTTTCTCTGTTCCTTTCAATTATTAATTGTCTTCTATCTATATTACTGTTTTTTCTCATCTTATTTTAATCCCAACTGTGTTAGTGTTTTTTTTTTTTTGTTTTTGTTTTGTTTTTTTTTTTTTTTGAGTTTTGTTTTGTTTTTGTTTTTTTTTTGAGTTTTGTTTTTTTTTTTTTTTTTTTTTTTTTTGTTTTTTTCTTATTTTCTTTCTGTAGTGCTTTTGTTTTAGTCTCTTACTTTCAAGGATCATGCTCAACCAGTCCCTTCCTCTCTCTCTGGCCTCGCGCTCTTTAAATATTTGTTCTTGGAACCCAAGAAGCATTTTAAATAAACGCATAGAACTCGAAACATTAATTATGAATCATAACCCGGACGTTATATGCTTGTCTGAATCTTGGTTGACTCCGGAAACTCCTTCATGGGAGATCAAAGGTTTCACCACTTTTCGTTTTGACAGACATCAAGGTAGAGGTGGAGGTTCAACCATTCTATGCAGAAAAGAGCTCATCACCTCGAGAGTCGATTTTGGTGATTGGTGGAATGGTCTTTTCGAATTGTGTTCCGTTGGCATCGAAACTACTAACGGTCGCATTGTCATTGTTTCTCTTTACATTCCCCCTAACAATCGAATCGATATGGACACCTGGAACAGATTGTTCATCCAACTTTCTCAATTTTCACACATAATCATCACAGGAGATTTTAACTCTCACTCTCCCTATGGGGACACTCAACCTTCAATTTTAACGGTTCGAATTTGACAGAATCTTTATCTGATTTCGATTTTATCGTCATGAATGACGACACTCCTACCTATTGCAACATCCACTCTGGTTATTCTAGCGTGCTGGACTTAGTTATTGCTTCGTCATCTCTAGTCAATAACTTAGAAGTAAATATTTTGGATGACACCTTTTCCTCTGATCATTACCCGCTAATATCCACTCTATCCTTTGGACCAAAGTATTCGATCTCTAACAGTACTAGATTCAACTTGTCCAAATTAAATTGGGAACTTTTCCATTCCAAAGTGGATCTCTTTGCTGTCGATATTTTGAACGCCATTGATAATGGTTCCATCCTTCCTGACGTGCAAACATATTCCGCTTTGATTGGAAAAATCAAGGAGTACATTCTTGATTCCGGCGGTTTCAAACCGACCAACAGAGGCCGTAAACCCGGAAAATCTAAACCTGTTTGGTGGAACGATGAATGTTCCAACGCAGTTGAAAGGAGATCCACAGCTCGTAAACTATACTTTAGGAACCAAACTCAGGAGGCTCTTACCCAATACCTTCAGGTTGATAGCGAGATTAAAAAATTTCTTCGTGATCAGAAGCGCAATTCTTTCAAACAATTCTGTTCCAATGTCAACCCTTCTATGGGATTAAAGAAGATATGGAATATCATTAAGGGCTTTCAATCAGCTAACACCGCCAAATCCACTAATATTTACAACAACCCTAATCTCCCAGAAATCGTCACTCTTCAACAAGAAATTTTAAACACAAACATCCATGCAATTGAAATCCCATACGACCACATTCCAAATGAACAAGATCCTCTGAACGGTCCTTTTTCATCTGATGAATACCATTTTGCTTTGTCTCGTTGCAAAAAGGATACTGCTCCTGGCATAGACTCCATTGGATATTCCATAATTAAAAAACTCCCTACATCTTGTCAAAATCTCCTATTAAAAATTTTTAATTTCCTCTTCAAAAATAGCATCTTCCCGGAATCATGGAGAGACAACCTGATCCTATTTATTCCAAAACCTGAAGGCAAAGGATTTCGTCCTATTTCTCTTTCCTCCAACATTTCCAAACTTTTTGAACGACTGATCCACCGCAGACTTGAGTACATCGCCGAAAGTAAAGACTGGTTCCCTCCTTTTCAATACGGATCCCGTAAAGCCAGATCCTCTTCAGACTGCGCAGCAGTTGCTTATACGGATATCCTATTAAGCTTCGAAAAAAATGAATCAGTCCTAGCCGTATCTCTTGACATCAAAGGGGCGTATAACTGTGTCCGCCATGATCAGCTCATCCACCATCTGCAAACTCTTAACACTCCCTCTCGCATACTAAACTTTATTAACTTCATGACTGCATCCCGTAATCTATATTTCTCCTCTAACGATCCCAATCCAAAAAAGACTCACGTAGGTGTTCCGCAGGGTGCTGTTCTGTCTCCCTTCTTATACAATGTGTATACAAGTCAAATTATGCAACAATTAAATCCCAACACTAAGGCGACCATCTACGTCGACGACATTTTTCTTTATACATCTAACAAAGACATCAACGAAGGAATTGTGGAATTAAACGCATCTATTGCCAAGATCTCCTCTTGGTTAACCGAACTAGGACTTAACATCTCTACTCCTAAGTGCAATTTTTGCATTTTTTCTAAATCTAAAATTGACACAACGATGCTTTCAATCCAAATTAATAATCATATAATTCCTTGCGATAATGAAATCAAGTATTTGGGTATAATTTTCGATTCTCAACTCACGTGGAAACCCCATATTTTGTCCATATCAGCTAGAGCCATTAAAGCGATCAACACCCTCAAAGCTTTATCCAGAATCACTTGGGGCGCTTCCTCGGAAACTCTCCTCATGGCATTCAAGGGTTTAGTCAGGGCATTATTGGAGTGGGGATCTATCTTTTTTTTGGGAGCTGCCAAGTATCTTCTTGACAAATTAGACAAAATTCAATACTCCGCCTTAAGAGTTATTACAGGATGCATGTCTTCCACCCCTATCTATTTCTTACTTATAGAATCAGGCGAAATTCCTCTCAAAATTAGAAGAATCTATTTAACATCTAGATTTGTTACCAGAAACTGCTCCTGGTCGCAAAATCCTCTTTACACTAACCTTAAAACTCTTAAAACTCGAATCTCTAACCAACGAAAACCTCTTAAATTAATTACAAAAACAGGTTTATACAAGTCCTTCATCTCTCTTCAAGACAAATTAAATTCCTGTCTCGTTACCAAAAGACCTCTCTATTTTGATTCAACATGGGAATCAACATTTCTTTCCATCCCCATGAATAACGAAATTGGCTACGAAATTAAAAATTCCAACAATCCATCGGAGAAATTATCCCAATTTCTAAATTCTAATTTTCCAAACCACGTATATATATTTACGGATGGATCTTGCTTTCCCAATATTAGCAGAGCGGGTGCAGGATTTTACATCCCCCAAAATGAAGTTCGATTTGGTGTCCCTCTTCCTGGATTTGTGTCTTCAACCACTGCTGAACTATCCGCTGTTTATGTTTCCATTAGTTATATAATCTCCAATAATATCCAGAATGTAGTTATTTTATCTGACTCCTTGTCCGCAATAAGCCAAATATCTAACAGATCCTCTTTATCTCACAATGACTCGAAACTCCCTTTTAAAATTGCTAACATGATCAAGGATTCTCCTATTGATCTTTCCATTCACCTTGTCTGGATTCCCTCTCATTCCAACATCTCTGGGAACTCGGTTGCTGATCAACTTGCCAAAACCGCTGCATCGCTGGACGTTTCTCAAAAGAAATTTGCCTCTGTTGGAGACGCTTTTTCTTGGAGCAAAAAATGCATGCTTTCTCAATCAAGGGAGATGTGGCCTTACAAAAACCATTCTGCGGCTGCGGATAGAATTTTGGCGAAAATCAACTATGACACTAAAAGACCATGGTTCCGTGGGATGGAGATCCCAAGATCAAATTCAAATCTAATTTCGCGTCTTAGAGTCAATCACATCTGCACTTCTGAACATTTTAGACGTATGAACTGGAATTTCCCCAGTGAGTGTGGCTGTGGCACGAGTGAAAGGTCCCTTGTACATCTTCTAAATGATTGTCCAAGCCTCTTACCAGGCAGACTATCAATTTTTAATTATCTTAACTCTTTAAAAAATTTTACCCCCCCTCTTGTAAATTTAGATAACTATATTTTTACTCCCTCCAAAAAACTAGCAGATGAACTATATAAGTACTTTTATCAAATCAAGGGAAATTTCATTTAGATAACTCATGACTGCATCCCGTAATCTATATTTCTCCTCTAACGATCCCAATCCAAAAAAGACTCACGTAGGTGTTCCGCAGGGTGCTGTTCTGTCTCCCTTCTTATACAATGTGTATACAAGTCAAATTATGCAACAATTAAATCCCAACACTAAGGCGACCATCTACGTCGACGACATTTTTCTTTATACATCTAACAAAGACATCAACGAAGGAATTGTGGAATTAAACGCATCTATTGCCAAGATCTCCTCTTGGTTAACCGAACTAGGACTTAACATCTCTACTCCTAAGTGCAATTTTTGCATTTTTTCTAAATCTAAAATTGACACAACGATGCTTTCAATCCAAATTAATAATCATATAATTCCTTGCGATAATGAAATCAAGTATTTGGGTATAATTTTCGATTCTCAACTCACGTGGAAACCCCATATTTTGTCCATATCAGCTAGAGCCATTAAAGCGATCAACACCCTCAAAGCTTTATCCAGAATCACTTGGGGCGCTTCCTCGGAAACTCTCCTCATGGCATTCAAGGGTTTAGTCAGGGCATTATTGGAGTGGGGATCTATCTTTTTTTTGGGAGCTGCCAAGTATCTTCTTGACAAATTAGACAAAATTCAATACTCCGCCTTAAGAGTTATTACAGGATGCATGTCTTCCACCCCTATCTATTTCTTACTTATAGAATCAGGCGAAATTCCTCTCAAAATTAGAAGAATCTATTTAACATCTAGATTTGTTACCAGAAACTGCTCCTGGTCGCAAAATCCTCTTTACACTAACCTTAAAACTCTTAAAACTCGAATCTCTAACCAACGAAAACCTCTTAAATTAATTACAAAAACAGGTTTATACAAGTCCTTCATCTCTCTTCAAGACAAATTAAATTCCTGTCTCGTTACCAAAAGACCTCTCTATTTTGATTCAACATGGGAATCAACATTTCTTTCCATCCCCATGAATAACGAAATTGGCTACGAAATTAAAAATTCCAACAATCCATCGGAGAAATTATCCCAATTTCTAAATTCTAATTTT